ATGCCGAATCCCTGACAATTTTCAAGCAACAGCTGACAGCTCTCTTTAGTCAACATCTGACTGCATCCTAATTTATAAACAACAAAAAAAACCTTCCCTTCCACTTTTCTTAATCCCTCAATGTTCTAGCTTGTACTAATCTGAACGATGTCTGAAACTTGTGAGCACTTCCCGTGTTTATTTCCCTCCTTATTATGACTCGCATGTTCCTCAATTGTAAGTTGCTTTGGATGTATATAAGCGTCTGCTTAATTTTTTGGCTCCATAAATAAGAAACTGGACTGTTACATGATCTATCCCAGCATTACATGCTAACTTTAGAGTACAAATGCTACACAACAGTAGTCAAAAAGTAAAAACCTCTGCATCCAAACTCAGCAGAGTTGAAAACTTTAAAGGCAACACTATATTTTTGAGTAGCATGAGATTAGCTCAGCTGCTTTCAAATCAATGTAGCTTCCAGTAACAAGCTATTTTGACCAACAATTAGCATTATGCTATATTACAGTTTAAAAGCAGTTTCCCAACACTGTGTGGAACTATCAGTGATCAATGTCACACTGTAGAGACCCTTGTCATCGTATACACAATAAAATAAAAGTAAGCGCAGGCAATTTTACTTGAGCACACAAAATGAGACAAGAAAACAAGACAAGGATATTTTAATAGTCCATTAAACTCTCTAGTACGGTTAGAAGCGCCACTTTGGCTTTGCTTACAGTTAAAGCCTGCCAAATCATAAATGCACCCTTCAGAGCAATAACCACATCCTGATGAGACACTATAGTGCCAGAGTATGCATGTGCGAATGTTTCTTCTCTCTCAGACTTGGTGAGAGGTGAGCAGTGGTCCACAAACAGCTAAACAGAAGGTCCATCCCTAATTGAAAGCAATCCTCAGCTACCGACCGGCCTTTGAGATTAATTTGTCGACAATTACCCCAGGCCTGCAAGCATCCGGAGCGATCCGAAATGCCTATTTCATCAAATTAGGATTCATCCTCCTCAGCCTCTGCCCTCACAGCAGCCTTGGGGCATATTGATTGGACGGGTCTGGGTTTCATATGGAGCGGCAGAGTGCTATAGATCCAGGCAGCACTGCTGGGTAATGAAAGAGAGCGAGGACTTGTGTGTGAAGAGATTATTCACTCCTTAATGCAGACCTAACAGGGTTAGAAAAACTGCACACGTAAACTTAATCCCAACCACACCTCAGGATACGCATCTCAGATGAGAAAAACAAAGGTCCGAGTACATAACCCTGCCTCTGAGCAGAAAAACAGATATCAGTACTATTTTTTTTTTTGTTGGGTTTATGGATTTATTTGCTCCGTTACATCCATTTTTCATTTGTTTATGCATTAAGCATTAGCATGTTTATGATATTGTATTAGCTTGTCTGTTTTAGGCTCAAAAGGTACCAAATATGTGTAAATACATGAATTCAAATGTTATGCAAGTACTTGTTGCATTCTTAGCATCACCACAAGGGGTGCCATTGATCTTAGTTAAAGTAGATGCCAAGATTAATGCAATTCTAATAAAAATAAAGCTGTACAGTCAGTTCAGTGGAATATAATGCTGTATACTTTTGTGTCATTAAGTCAACTGACAATACATTGAAAATACATTTTTCTAAAAACATCCTAATGAACCAAAAATTCTAGAAAACTTGACTGACTGAATTCTGGGAGACTGAACAGAATGTACTTCTATTTTTCACAGCCTCATTTCCGTGTCCAATTAAATGTAACATATACTCTGAGGTCCATAGCAAGCATTTGCATAAACTGTCTTCTTCTACTGTCAGTTTTTGCTTTCAAGTCAACTATTGCCATGGCAGAAAATCAGCTGCCGAGCAAGTAAGTGAAATAGTCAATATGTTTATAGTTAGATACTTAAATAACAACACATCTGGTTTAATGGCACAGACATTTGAAGACAAATTTATCGCCACCTTGAGTACTGGAGTTGTTACTGCATTAGCACAAGACTGTATGCTATGTACAACAGGATGACATTTTGCACTGCCACGGCCAAACAATCACATTAGTTTATTTGTTTCCTTATGTTTATAGCAGTTTATCCAACTGGCTACCAACTTAACCAGCAATCAATTCAAGCTTCCCTTCCTTCCTCTCCTCTAGTAAAAAAACACACTTTGGTGGCTGGTACAGTACATGGATAGCTATTCACGTGTGGACGGAGGGGAATTTCAACCCATTCCAACATTAAATGGTTGTGAGATATCTCAACCTCCCACTGTTTTGATTTACCGTTCATTCCTCCCTCCAGACAGAAAGTGAGGGAGCAGCGACCAGGTTTCAAACCAACATTTCATTCACCTCTGACCTCTCTTTCAGCTCGATCAATACTCCCTCTGTTCACCGTTTCCTTCTTCTTCTTCTTTTTTATAACTTTGTTGAGAAAGAGAAAGAGAGTGAGAGAGGCTGATGGAACTCCTAAAAGACGAGATTACATTTTGGGGCAAAATACGTTAGCTTTGCTATGAGAACACACAACCACACTAACCATTGATTTTCTACATTTTTAAAGCTATAGTTCAACTGAAATGAAAAATCTTTCATCATTTACTCATGTATGAAACCTGTTTGTCTGCCTTTCTTCCATGGGACACAAAAATACAAATTTCACAAAAAATGTTCCAGCTGAAGTGAAAGTGAATGGAAGCAGCTTGGACATTCTGCTAAATATATTCTGCTAATTATCTATTAAATGTTTTTAATAGAAATTAAGCTTTTTTCTAAAATATGAAATAAAGACTTTTTTTTACATTAAAAGGTGAATTCAAGTCTAACATGTATAAATTGTATTTTTACTGTATTTTTGAATAAACGGATTTTATGAACAAGAGATTTTTTTATGAGCCATGAACAAATTCTGTATATTCTTTGAATAAAACACAAAGTATGAAAAGCAAGACAGCTAGAGAATGCAGACTAGTGAATTTCTTTCCCACTCCCTCTTCCCTTTCAGAACCCTTCCGAAACAAGACATGCCACTCAAAAAATCATCTGACAAGTACAACCATGCCTTCATCAAAATGTGTGAAAGGGAGACAGCAAAAGTCCTTTTTCCACTAAT